CACGATGGCTCCTAAGATGGTTCCAAGAAGCCCAAAGACGGCCCCAAGATAACTCCAAGTGGCCAAACAGCTCCCCAAGGAGGCCCCGAAGAGGCCAAAATCGTCCCAAAACCTAAGGAAAATCAATGATTTTTGCTTTCTCGCCTTTTCGCTTCCGATGGCCATCCGAGGCCTGGAGATGGCTCCAAGATGGCCCAAGAGGGCCCCAAGAGAGCCCCAAAAGAGCCCCAAGACGGCCCCAAGAGCGCCCAAGAGCACTCCAAGAGCGTTCCAAGAGGGGTCCAAGAGGCGATTTTAGGGGCTTCCGAGGGGGGGCGCTAATTAAACCCCCCCTCTTGTTTGATCGACTCCCTCCAAGATGGCCCCAAAAGCGCCCCGAAGGCTCCCCAGAGCGCCTCAAGAGGGTCCCAAGAGGCGCCCAAGATGCCCCAAGGCGCCCAAAAAGCCCTCCAAGAGGCCCTCAAAAGACCCCCAAGAAGCTCCTTCCCCTCCTCCTCCTCCTCCTCCGATTCTTCCTCCTTCTCCGTCCTCCTCCTCCTCCTCCTCCTCCTCCTCTTCCCCCTCCTCCTCCTCCTCCTCCCCGACGACGACGACGACTCCTCTTCCATCCTCCCCCTCTCGGGGTCTGTGACAGCTTCCCCCGCCCTTTGTTATTCTGCATGCTCCCCGACTTCCCTGATCACCTCAACTCCCCTGAGCATCGTTTCTGGATGGGCTGGTGGGGATACGCGAAGCGTCAACAATTCCTCGAGGCTGGCGCCCACTCGGCCTGCAAGGTGGACGCACTGCACTCGGAGCACGTCCACATCGTTGGCGACACCTCGGCTCGGCCCTTAGGCAGCGACACGCGCCTGTACCTCGACCTGGTACGCGCGAGCTGCCTCCTCGGCCTGCTTGGCCTCCAGCACCTTGGCGCGCGCTGCCTGCAGCGCGCCTGGCACCGCTGCTCCTCGGCCTCCGCTGCGACCAGCGTGGACGCCGCCTTCTCAGCACGAAGGCTGGCTTCGCGTAGCTGCGCTGCCGTGGGCTTGGCTCGGTCCCGGGACTCACAGGCTGACCGCAGCTGCGCCTCCACCTCAGCGAGCGCCTCCGCCCACATGCCCGACGAGCAGTCGCACTCCGCCTCGGGCCACTCACTCCATCTTGCGCAGGCATTTCTCGACCTCGCTCGGCTCTTTGGCCCAGGGTCGCGCGCTCTCCTGGCCCGCTACAGCACCGGCCTTGGCAGAGGTGCCCTCCAGGGCCTTGACCTTCGCCTGGAGGGCCTTCTCACGCTCCTCGACCGCCTTGAGCTTCGCCGCCAAGGAGGCCGCCTGCTGCTTCGCACCAGCACCTGCCGCCGACCAGGCTCCTCCAGCGCGCAGCGCTTGGCAGCGTGGGTCACAGCAGTGGGTGCGGAAGCCGAACTGGTCGCCCAGCCCACACGTCCAGCACTGCCACGTCGGACCATCGGGCGCACCCTACTTGCTGCCCGCCGTCCGCGACCTCGTGCCTGCGCCATTGCCTGACTGGGGCAGTGGGGCGCGCTGGCGCCATCCTGCTCGCCCGCCGCCAGGCCCATTGCCGCCCGCCATCCGCGCGCCCCTCGCGCCGATGCGGACCCACAACTGAAAGCAAGCCGCGGACTAGCGGTATCCACGTGTTCCCCTGTGGAACAAGGCATATTGAGCCAAAATGGCTACGGAGAGGAGGAGGAGGAGGAGGAGGAGGAGCAGGAGCAGGAGGAAGAGGAGGAGGAGGAGGAGGAGGAAGAGGAGTGGAGGTGGAGGAGGAGGACGAGGAGGAGGAGGAGGAGGAGGAGGAGGGAGGAGGAGGAGGTGGAGGAGGAGGAGGAGGGAGGAGGATGACGGGTCGCTTAAACCCTTCGGATAAACCCTCTACCCCCCCTCTGCGCGCCGTCAGCGTCAAGCAACGCCCGAGCTCGGCCAGGCTGAGCTGGGCCAGCTGAGCGTTGCCAGGCCCTTTGCCTGGCCGAGTTCGCCTCCTCCTCCTCTCCTCCTCCTCCTCCTCCTCCTCCTCCTCCTCCTCCTCCTCCTCCTCCACGGTCAGCCTGGCCCAGGTTCGCCTGGCCGAGTCCTTCCCTTGTCCCGCGGCGGCACCCCCAAGGGGGCCCCAAAACGGTCCGAGAGGGGCGTCCAAGAGAGGGGCGTACAAGAGTGGGGTGTCCAGGAGAGGGTTTCGCACAATCATGGCCCGAGGCACGTGCGCGGCCCAGGGATGGGGCGGAGGGACGCTCTGAAGCAAGAAGAGGGGCCATGACATGCTGGCAACTATCATGGCCCTGGCCATGACATTCCCCATCCCCCTAGTCATCACCTCTCTCTTAGCCGCCCCCGAGGAGGGGCGGGGGTGGCGGGGCCAAGGCCAGGAGAGCACCCAAGAGGGCCCCACGACAGGCCGAACGACCCCCACGACGGCCCACGAGGCCCCCAAAACGACCCCAAGATGGCTCCAGGACGTCCGCACGGAGGGGTCCCCCAAGACGGCCTCCAAAAGCCAAGAGGCCCCCACGAGGCCCCAAGAGGCCCTCAGACGACCCCACGAGTCCTCCGCAGGTCCGCCTCGGCTGCTGCATGAAATGGACTCGGCGTCTGCTCGACGTTGGTTCGACGCGAGGAGGCGGGGGAGGAGAACGATGCCGATGAAAAGAGGGAGCAAGGGGGACATGAGGATGAGGATGAGGAAACGACGCTACGCATGCTCGTTTCCCCCATTTATGTGAAGTCGCTAACTTGGGGCAGAGCGCTTGCTGCGTATCTGATGCATCAGAACCTCCGTTGACGCGCCGCCACTGAGTTTACAACAAATCCTGAAATATTAGCGGGATCGCCGGGGCCAGGGCATCTTTATTCCGATGGCGTCCAGCATAACTCGAGTCGCGATGTCGTGTACGCGTAACAGCGATGTGGAGGATGGGGGACGGGAGGAGGTCGATCCTAGAGGTCCAGCGTCGAACTCTCGAAGGCCTCGGCCACCTGTACAACGAGTGATGCCCATGACTAGAAAACAGCTTCAGACCTGCTTAGACTCGGACTATGAACATCTCTCGCGCACACGCTAACATGCATTGAAGATCGGCCTTGGATCTGGCGCGTGGGCGCCAGATCCACGGATCGGGGAAAACAACCTCCGAAACAAGAGGCCGGTGGCACTTGATTTGGGGATGGAGCGCGCCGGTTCTGTTTGGAGACGGGCCCCGTCGCCAGCCCACACGCTTTGATCCATGTGTGCGCTGCCTCGGACTTCTTGCCTCAAATACAAGTTGTGAAGCGTTCGAGGTTCCCCTCCCGCTTGTTTGGGGGGTGTCTTGGGGCTCGAAAGGCTGATCATCCCACTTCGCTTTCTCTCCCTCGAGCTGTATTCACGGCGGGGTTCCTCTTATCAAACCACTGTTGCAAACTGCTCCCCGAACGCTTTTGCGAAACACGGAAAAATTACATACACAGTTTCAACGACCCGCATTTACACATTCCTTCCTGCCTTGTTCTTCAGCCACCATCCTAATCCCAAACACGCTCCCCTACGCAGAGCTGACCTGAAACAACAAAACTTGCTTAACAGTCAATGTTGTACAACCCAGGCAATGAGCGGTCTCACGCCATGTTTCGGGTGCCATGAGTTGGCCCCTGGCTGACATGCAGTATCCTCCCGCCTTATTGAAACCCCGAAGTTGGCTCCTTACTCACAAATTTGTTCGGCATGCGCCTTTCTCTATGTTACGGCGTCGCTCACCGGTCAAAGGCGGGATGTGACCCCGCCGTCTATGCTCGAGAACTTTTGCTCTTTGTGTCGCGACGGCGGCCCCTGCGACACGCTATGCCTTGCGAGCGGATAGCGTGTCGCTCCGCTCCGCGGGGCGGGAGGCTGGGAAAAGCTCGGGACATCAGGGCGGGACATAGAGAGCGTGTCGCGCCGCGGCGTGGTGGGCCAGAACGGGCGGAGCGACACCCTGTCCAACAGTGCCCGACCCTATATGCAGGAAGGGAGAAACTGCATACACATAAACTTTTGGAGATCCGCCCCGCTGTTCTTGAACCGGCGCTGCACCCCCCGCCCCGGCGCGCGGAGCGCGCGCTAGGGGGCGGCGCCGGAGGCGCCGCCAAGGAGTTCCTGCGCAGATTCAGGAAATCCGCGCGGTTCTCCGAATATCTATGCTTGTGCATTTCCTTGTTCGGCGGCGAACCTGGGGGGAAGTGAGGAGAGGCGGGCCTTCTCAGAAGGCTCGGAAGTCCCCCAGCCTTCTGAGAAATGTCCTAAGCCTTCCCCGAAGACATAGAACACTTCTCAGAAGGCGCGAAGGATTCTGAGAAGTCCAGCCGCCTTCCGAGAAGGCCTTCTCATTCTCACTTCCGCCCCTCGCTCGCCGCGATTTTTTTCTCTTTCGGACATATTCCTCATACATCTCCCACCCATCCAGCTCATCCGCCTCCTCCTCATGCTCGCCTCTCCCCTGTATGCTTGCCTGCCGTGCCTCGAACCTCGTATGCCTTAACAACAAGTTGTGCGGCGTTCGAGGCTCCCGCCCCCCCCCCATTTGTGGCGCTGGGGCCCCCCTGGCGGCGCCTCTGGCGCCGCCCCTGGCGCGCTCCTCGCGCCTGGGAGGGGGTCCAGCGCGGATCCAAGGAATCCGCGCGGACCTCCGAGTTTTTATGTTCATGTCATTCTTTGTTCCCCTACTTGTGGGGGAGAGGGTCCTGGGGTGCTCGAGGGGCTCATCTAAGAAATCCGCGCGGGCCTCCGAGTTTTTATGTTTATGTAACTGTTCGTTCCCCTAAAGAGGGGAGCACGGGGAGGCGGAGGTGGACGGGGGGGAGAGAGGTGCGAGGGATGCGGCACGGGGGAGAGGAGGGCGGAGGGGTAGAGGAGGAGGAGGAGGAGGAGGACGAGGAGGAGGAGGAGGAGAAGGAGGAGGAGGGGGGGGGACGACGACGACAGGCGATGTTTGTGTCATTGTTCGTTCCCCTAGTGCTCCCCTCGTCATGCCGGCTCGCCCGCCGCGCCTGCGCACGGGGGGTCGACGACGGCCACGGCGCGCGGGGTGCCCGGCGTGTGGCGCACCTCCCGCAGCAACTCCTGGCGCCCACTCGGCGCGCCAGCGAACCGCGAGGGGGGCGGGCGCGGCTGCCGAGAGCGGCAGCCGAGCCTGATCGTCGAGCTCGGCTGCGGACACTGCCGTCGCGCTGCCGCAGGGAGCGCCGAATATACTCCGAGCTTCTTAGTAAGCGTCGGGGGGGCGTCACCCCGCGGACAACCCCACATCGACCCCTGGCGCGGGCAGCCACCGCGCGCCGAAGGCGCTCCAACCCCCGTCGCGGCGCGACGACGAGGCGAGGTTGACCCCCGTCGGGGGGGTACCCCCCCCACCCTGAGTAAGGTAAACCCGAAGGCGCTCCTTACTCTGATAAACCCAGAGTAAGGAGCGAGTGTCACGTCGCCTCGTCTCTAATCAGGGTGGCGCAGTGGCTGAGAGCAGTGGCCGAGAGCCTGCCTGGTGTTATGCAAAGACGCCGACGCCCGAGTGTATCCCAAGGCACACGAGTGTGATCGAACTGCTTGCTTCGCGATCAGTGTGATTGTCAAGTTCGGGCACAGCTCGGGTCCTGCGGCGTGCTCGGTCATGATTTCGGGCACGCTTCAGGCCACCTATGTTTGTTCGGTCTTCTGCCTCTTTGACCGATAGGGTTAGGTCGGGCGTGTCCTCCTACTGCGTGATTTTGGACGAAAATTGAAGCATACCCCGAAAATGCTCAAACATAGCCCAACAATATTAAAAAAAGCGTCCCCAGGCTATTTTTTGACTATTTTTAAATATTCCTCCCGTGGAGGGACACGCCCGACTTAACGATAGGGGCCAGGCGCCATGCCGAGTGGGGCTGCCTGGCCACGGCGAGCCCTGGCCGCGAAGCGGCTCTCCCCCCTCCTCCTGCGGTGGAGGCGCTCGTTGAGGGATGCGCCCAGGAGGCTGCAGATCCTGGGGGATTCCCTGTGTGAGGAGGGCGGCGGTGACATCCAAGCGCCAAGCTTCGGTTGGAGTTCCACCGTCCTCCGCTCCGGACCCTGGAGTCCTTATCCACGGGTTCCTTATCCAATGCCCACACCGTAGTCCTCCTCCTCCTCCTCCTCCTCCTCCTCCTCCTCCTCCTCCTCCTCCTCCTCCCCCTCCTCCCCGTCCTCGTCCTCGTGCGGCCCGGAGACGAGAACAGCTCCTGAGCCCATTGGTGCGATTTCGGAAACCCTGAACCCAACAACGTTTTCATCTCTTGGGGGCGCATGCTTCACTTCCGCCGTCATCCGCCGACCTTTCGCCGGCGGAGGCGGCCTCGTTTTACTTCCGCCGACCTTCTGCGACCCTTCCGCCGCCTTCCGCCGTGGAAGAGATGGCAACTCCTTCGATCCTCAAAGGTAGGGCCATTTTGGAACGCCTCCTTTGGTCCTCCTGTCAGCGTCTTGACCGTAAATGCAATGCCGCCGCGATTGTCTATGTTTGCGGCTGTCACAGCCGTTCCTCGCCACGGTTTGCCCGAGAACGGGTTGCAGCTTGCTTTGGCATCCACGGCGGACGCCTTCACCAACGAAACTCGCAAACACCAGCACCATGAAGCAATTTCCAGGCATCTGGTGTATATCTGTCGCCTTCACTGCCCAATGCTCGACGCGTTGAAAACATATTCAATTGATTGGCTTCCGACTGTGAGGTGCCCGATGCCCGTGTACCGCACGCCGCCGCCACTAATTCGGTGGACGAGCCCTGGGTGCGTAGGGAGCGAATTATCTAGAACATGTGCAACTATTGTCGAGTCGTCGCCCTCGTAATATCCTTCCTCGTCGCCGACGTCGACGCTCTCGTCCTCGTCGTCGACATCGTCGCAATTCTTCCTTCAACACAGCGAGCCCCCTCAGGTCCGTTGCGCACAAGCCCGTCCAGCCAGGGTGGGGCAGTATTCGGTGGGTGATCACGCGGCCCAATCGCGCGATCGAATCGCACTTTGCATCACGGCGACGATCACCACCATGACCACTCAGATCACAAACCGATAACTGTGATCCAGCCGCTGTGATTTGACGAGCCCGCAACTGGTCGCCGATCACTGCCGAACAAGCCTGTTCCTGATCATCATGGCACCCCTCGGGGGGCGGCCAAGAGGAGGGCGTCCAAGAGGGGGGGGGGCGCAAATCATGACCGGCGGCATGTCCGCGGCCCAAGGGGGGCCAGGGACGTAATGAAATAAGAAGAGGCGCCATGAAATCTGGGGGAAATATCTTGGCCCACGCCATGATATCCCCCCCCCCTAGTCACCACCCCCCTCTTTGCCGCCCCCGAACTCTGGTGTCCTGGTATCCTTGGCATCCTTGGCATCCTGGTCCCCCGGGGCCCGTCGCGGCCGCGTACGCACGCCCGCGTGACGCGCAAATCCCGCGTGTCACGCGGCCTGGGCCCGGAGTCTCGAGCAGATCCGGGGCCTCCCAACGTCTGGACGCGAGTCCAGCGCAGGTCCAGGTCGCGCACGTGGCACGTAGGCAGAAATTGCCCACTGCGCGATGCACTACCGACAATACGCGACTCGCGACTTCGGCATGTCCTTCCTGCCCGAGTGCCGCGCGAATTCCGTGAGCGATGCGGCGTGGAACGTCCGCCTGAGTCCGCCGTGATCCGTCCGAGGCCCGAGGCCGCGCGACACGCAAGACCTGCGCGTCCTGGCGCGCGCGGAGCCTCGAGCCGCAGGCCGCAGGCCGTGGCGTGGCGCGCAGGCTCCGCGTGTCGCGCAGGCGCGAGCGCCCCCGCGAACTGCGAAACCAGCGCGTCACGCGGCCGGGAGCCTCGAACGGCCCCCTAGGGGAGCGAACAAAGACATGAACATAGAAACACGGAGGTCCGCGCGGATTTCTCGGATCGGCGCTGGGGCTCCCCTGGCGGCGCATCCGGCGCCGCCCCTGGCGCGCTCCGCGCGCCAGGGAGGGGGTTCCAGCACCGATCCGAGAAATCCGCGCGGACCTCCGAGTTTCTATGTTCATGTCATTGTTCGTTCCCCTACCCCCACACATCCGTCCGACGCCCCAGGCCGTGTTGCGGGCTGGACTTGTGTGCGACGCCTTGCGCGACACGCTGCACTCCGGTGTCGCACTCAGAACGCCGCGCAATGACACGCTGCATCCGCCCGTCACACTGGAGGGTGGGCACAGGGGATCCGGCGTGTCGCGCGTGCTCCCCGGAGCAGGGTTGGGGGGCTACCGCAGCTCGCGCGTGTGCGACGCGATGGTGGTGTCTCACCCAGAACGCCGCGCAGTGACACGCAGAAGCTGCGTTCCGCCGAGAGGGCAAGCGATTCTGGCGTGTCGCGCGCAGCGCCACTTGGCGCCAGGGGGGCTCCTGCACTTCGCGCGTGCATCACGCTGGATCGCTGGATTCGCGTGTCACACCCAGAACGCCACGCTTGTCACGCCGGGGAGGGGGGCGGCACGCGAGTCCCGCGCGTCGCGCGCAACACCCACTTGCGCTGAAGTCGCGTTTCGTATGCAGAACGCCACGCAGTGACACGCCGCGATTGTCCTCGAACCCCTGCGGGTGACCCACGTAGGTGACGTATGCAGGGTCAGCGTTTGGCAGACTCCTGCCATGACATCGGCTCTGGTCTCTGACCCGCGTGAACCGACAAACCTGGCACGCACTTCTTGGTCGGAGCTCCCCAGAGGCTGTCGATGTCGACCCCATCTTTTGTACGGAGTTCACGTTCACGCCGTTGGCTACTTTCCGCGGGGCCCCAGTGAGGGGCAACGATAGGGGGGACTGGCGGGGAGACACATCGACCTGGAATCCGCGATACATCGCCGATAGATCGGCTATAGGCCCCCGATAGTGAATCCGTAAATTCCTGGGCAGGTTGAGGCTATCGGGCCCCGTATCGGCGACCGATGGGCGATTGGGGGCCGATGCATCCCACCTTATATGCCCATTCCCCCCTGACGTTGATCCGTGGCTTGCGGGCCATAACTCGGCTCTCCGGCGGCCGCTCGTGACGATTGCAGCACCCTGGGAACGCCCTCGATGAGGCGCAGCTGATGGAAACCACCCCTGGTTGGCGGCGCGCAGAGGGAGGTAGGGGGAGGGGGGGAGGCTTCTTAGAAGCACGCTGCTTCTTAGAAGGCGCGGGCCTTCCATCTACAGAGAAGGCCCGCGCCTTCTGAGAAGCAGGGGTGCTTCCAAGAAGCCTTCCCCCCTCCCCCTGCCCCCCTCTGCGTGTGGCCGATCTGGGCTTCGCAACCTGCCGAACACTTTCGAACGCCTCCTCCTCTCCTCCTCCTCCTCCTCCTCCTCTCCTCCTCCTCTCCCCTCTTCCTCCTCCTCCAAATCCTCCTCTCCTCCTCTTCCGCTCCTCCTCCTCCTCCTCCTCCTCCTCCTCCTCCTCCTCCATCGAGCTCAATGGGCGATCGGGGGCCGATGCGTTCTCTCCCCTGGGCCCGCCCTCCCCCCCCCATGCCGTTGCCCCCGACCCACGCCCGCAACGGGCCCCCCGGACGGAGCGCTCGGCCGTGCCCGCCCGCGCCAGCGCCGCCGCCGCGCCGAGTCGGCGAGAACCCGTCGGGGACCGGCTCCTCTTCGGGTCTTTCGTTTTGCTCCCAACCGTCCTGTGGTGTTTGGCTCCTCGTTTTGAAGAGACAGTGCCCCGCGCTCCTTCCTTCCGCCTCCCCCTCCCCCTCCTCCCCCTCCTTCTCCTCCCTCCTCCCCTCCCTGCCTCTGCTCTCCGCATGCCCATTCCGTTTCGGCACACCCCACCCCGAGTCGGCGCGGACCTGTCGGGGACAAGCTACTCTTCGAGTCCTTTGTTTTGTCTTGGACTCCGCCCGGATTCTCTTCAAGTCGACCCCCGGCACCCTCCTGCACGTTCGGAAGCAGCTCATGGGAGCCTCCCATTCGGCGGCGAGCGAGGGCGGCGGGGAAGTGAGAAGGAGAAGGCCTTCGCAGAAGGCGGCGGGGCTTCTCTCAGAAGGCCTCTGGCCTCTGGCCTTCTGAGAAGCTTTCGGTGTCTTCGGGGAAGAGTTAGGACAACTTCTCAGAAGACTGGGGGACTCGAGCCTTCTGAGAAGGCCCGCCCCTTCTCACCTCCCCCCCCCGCGGCTTGCCGCCGACCCATACCATCGTGTTGGCTTTTGCGAATCGGCGCCAATCAAGACCGGTTGACGCTAAGTCGATGCTAATCGATGCCAGTCGACGCTGAGTCGGCGCTATCTCATGGTTTACCAGACGCTCATCGACGCTAGTGGTCGCTCAACAGGGAATTCGGAGGGCACACGAGGCCCCCAAGATTTACGAGCGGACTGGACGCCATCCTGACAAGTTTTCCGAACTGCGGCCGACCATGTCCATGATTTGGACGCCCGAAATGCGTACGGCAAAAAGGGGTACAATACCCAACAACAAATGTTGTCCCAAACCAACAGCGGCCGCTGTTGGGCAGGCGGCCGTCTGTCTCAAATGGACACAGGCCGCGGCGACACCAACAGCGGGTCCTGTTCAAAATGAGCAAGAACTGCTGTCGGTCTTTGTACCCATTCTTTCCGCACCCATTTCAGACGTCCCGACATGAGGGCCGCCCCGCCCCGAAGTCCAGAAGGCCACACAGCTCACTCCTGAGTTCCCCCTCAGCAAAACTCTTCCCGAATGATCCAGACGGTAGGTTTAGGTCGGGCATGTCCTCGTACAGGGGGACATCGGAGGAAATATGTAGCACTCCGCAGTTGCGGATAAGAGTGAGGGGGCGGCGAGGACGTCGTCAGTCTGCGAGGCTCCGCAGGCGCCTAACTTTTACAAATTATGCATTGAGCCCGCCGCACGCGCCGATTTTTTCGTTGAAGCAATGTGGGTCGATCGCGGGGTGGGTCGCGGGGTGGGTCGCGGGTGGGTCGCGGGGCGGGTCGCGAGTGGGTCGCGGGAGGGTTGCGCATGGGTCGCGGGTAGGTCGCGGGTGGGTCGCGGGGTGGGTCGCGGGGTGGGTCGCGGGTGGGTCGCGGGTGGGTCGCGGGTGGATCTCGGGGTGGGCCGCCGGGTGGGTCGCGGGGTGGTTCGCGGGGTGGGTCGCGGGGTGGGTCGAGGGGTGGGTCGCGGGTGCGCGGGTGGGTCGCTGGGTGGGTCGCCGGGTGGGGTCGCGGGGTGGGTCGCGGGGTGGGTCGCAGGGGGACGACGACAACAAACATCAACAACAACGTCACCACCACCAACATCATCATCAACAACAACAATCACACCAACACTTATAGTAACAACAACAACAACACGAACAACAACACGAACAACAACACCAATAACAACCACAACAACACCACCATTAACACCAACCATCAACAACAACCAACAACAACACAAACAACCAACCAACAACCAACAACCAACAACCAACAACCAACAACCACAACAACAACACCAACAACAACAACAACAACAACAACAATCATTTAAGACTGGGGACACTCCGTTCTCACCAGTGCCAGGGTTTTCATAGGAGGCGGGCAATACCCCCACTTTGTGGGGGGGCCGGTTCAAGCTCTACCAAGTTTCCAAACGACTCTTCGCCACCACCCACACCCAGCTTCCCGCCCTATGACGTTCGGACACTTCACTTCGTGGCCTGCGGACGACCTTGGCTACTACACTGGCGCATGGTTACAATGACTTCTTGTGGTAAGAGAGAACCTGGCAGGCAGAGACTTACATGGAGCACCTGGTAGGCGCGCGAACCCCGTTGCAAGAGCGTGCGAAAGTAGCTCGCGCGAGCTCATGTAACATAAATGTTGGAAAACCATTGGTTTTTTTTAGGATTCGGACAGCGCGCGCGGGTGGAAATTTTGAAAAGTCGTGCAGGTGTTTTTCGAGGACCTACGGTGCGATTCGTGTGATTTTATGATGCGCGGTGCTAAAATTCTTAAGAACCCAATGGTTTTTGGAGATTTCGGCGTGCGCGCGCGAAGAAAAAACGAATGTGTCCCGCATGGTATTATTTGACAGGGATGATGGCCCTGGCAGGTGCGCAACCGTTGTCGCAGAAGTTCGAAAAAGTTGCTCGCAAAAGCCCGTTTGACAGAAATGTTTAAAAAGTGTTGGGTTTCCTACGAATCCGCAAGAGCGCGCGGGATGAGATTTTGACATTTTTTTGTTGAAAAACCATTGGTTTTTTGATGTTTTTATGTTAAAATCGCTCCGAACACTAAGCTTTTGGAAGGATTTCGTCTTGCGCGCGCGAATGTCCACTTTACCTTATTTTTTGCAAGGGATTCTTGAAATTTGATTATATTAGAACAAGAAATGTCATTTTATAGTGTTTTTTGCAAGGGAAAACGGATTACAACAAAACAACCGGATCTGGATCACATCGTTTTACCTGAGGCTTCCTCACGAAAATGATGAAAATGTAGCTGCGGCCTAGGCGGCGCAGGGGGGGCGCGCACCAGGGGGCCCAACAATAATTATTCTTTAGAATAAATAATGTTCAACAACAGCAACCACAACCACAACCACAACCACAACCACAACCACAACCACAACCACAACAACAACAGTGCTGAGAACAAAAACAACAACCAGCACAACAGCAACAACAACAACGCAACAAGCAGAATCCTCAACACGGATCCCCACTAGAGCCATGCACCCAGGGACAATGAATGACCGTTCGGCCCCCGCACTCTGAGTATGTTTGTGAATATCCTTCCTGTAGAAGGGCACGCCCGACCTAACGGCAGGTTCGTGCGGCGTCGCCGCCGCGCCATCGTCGCAGGAGCCTACCGCAAGAAATCCTCCCCCCAATGCTCCGAGGTCGTGGTCTGTAGTCCAGGGAGCCGATGCCTCAGGACCACAGAGGAGGCAGCAGGTACACGGGCACTCTTTGGCCCCCGGGCGTGGCCCAAAGAGCGGCGTCGCCGTCGCGCCATCGCCGACGGGGCCTACCGCAAGAAATCCCCCCCCCCAATATTCCGAGGCCGGGGCATGTAGCCCGGGGAGCCGATGCCTCAGGACCATGTACAGGGGAGGCAGCAGATACACGGGCACTCTCTGGCCCCCGGGCATCGCCCAAAGATGGCCACCCTGGGCATCGCTTCCCCAGGCGGTGGACGTGTACAACACTGCGGCCTCGGAAGGGCCCGGCCTCTCTCTCCATTGGCGGCGCACACAAGGGGATATGCAAAAAGGGGGAGAGCTTCTTAGAAGAAGGCTGCTCCTTAGGAGGCGCCGGCCTCACATCGGTAGACAAGGCCCGCGCCTTCTAAGAAGCAGGAGTGCTTCTAAGCAGCCTCCTCCCCCCCCTGCCCCCCTTCTGCGCGCGGCCGACTCTCGGCGACGGCGGCGGCGCGGCTCGCGCCGGGGCGGCCGGGGGCGCCCAGCCCGCCTCGAAGCTGTCGGTGCTGCGAGCGCCCACGCGCAACGACAACAGCCGATCGCCGCCGGGCGCAGGCGCCAGGAAGCGCATGTCGGGGCGCGCGTTGAGCTGCGCCTCGGCTCGGAGGGAGGAGGGGGAGGAGGAGGAGGAGGAGGAGGAGGAGGAGGAGGAGGAGGAGGAGGAGGAGGAGGAGGAGGAGGAGGAGGGGGTGGAGGAGGAGGAGGAGGAGGAGGAGGAGGAGGAGGAGGAGGAGGAGGAGGAGGAGGAGGAGGAGGAGGAGGAGAAGGGGGAGGAGGAAGATGATGAGGAAGAGGAGAAGGAGGAGGAGGAGGACCAGTGTAAAGCTAAGGCGCATCAGCGATGTTGCAGTAAACCCTCCCTCTAAGCTCCCTCTTCACAGGGCCTTAGAATAATTTTTCATTGATGGGAACGCACCATTTTGAAACAACCGTCTGAGAACCCTGAGCTATTCCTGGGACTTCAACGCCGCGAATCAACGTGACTGCTGCGTCCTGAAAATCCCAAACCGTGCCAAAACACCAGTCCTGGGACTGCAAGACCGCGTGTCAACGTGACTGTTGCGATCTCGCAGCCCTAAATCTTGCCGGAGCACCTTTCCTGGGACTTCGACCATGCGAATTCTTGCAACTTTTGCGAACTTTCAAAACCAATGGGCGCGGTGCTAAGGCGAGAACCAACTTTTGAAAAAACAGCCGCCCTTCATCCGTGAAGCTGGAGCAAACTCTAAGGACGAGCGTGCGCGGCGCGGAGGCGAGAAGCACATTTTGAAAACGACGGGCCTCCATCGGCAGGCCCCCTGTGGGGACCGCCCGGGTGGGACACGATGACGGCGGATCGGGGACTGGACGGGCAGAGCGGTGTGACAGCCCCGGCCAAGTTTTGGCGGCGCGCGTGGGGGGGAAGTGACCGTGGGCAGGTCTTCTCAGAGGGCGGGGGGACTTCTCAGAGGCCAACGGTCCAGCGGCCGCGAAAGAGAGGCCCCTCAGAGAAACACCCTGCGGCTTCGGAGAAAGCGTCGAGACCTTCCCAGAAGGTCGAAGGCCTTCAGCGCCTTGTGGGAAAGCCCGCCCACTCTGCCTTCTGTCCTGGGCGGGCTACCGAAAACTCACCCGGGGCAGGCGTGGGTGGGGGGGACCCCTTGGCCCAAGCGTGGGGAGACGTCTCCCGGTGGCACTTTGCCATTGCACGCCCACATTCCTGCTAACGCTGTCCACGCGCGTCCAGGGGCTGGGGACGCGAGCCGAAGGATGCGTAGAGTCAAGCCAGGGTCTCTCATGCAGCGGGGAAAGAGAAGGGCGAGGGGAATTCCGCCGGTGAGGGTGCGCACTGGGACACGGGAGAAGGGATGGAAACGCGGGGCACGAGGACTGCTGTAGAATCAATGCCCAGCCACAGTTTGTATCATAACGCCCCTCTCCATCTCTCATTCGTCAGGCTCGTCTTTCTCCTTATACTTCTCTCCCGATGCCCCTTCTTCTCTCTCTCTCACACGATATATATATATATATATATATATACATCTATACACACATATATATACTGTATACCCACATACAGTTACATGTATGCCCATATAAACATATACAATCATATAAATGTATCATAATTATAT